TGGGTGTACACCCAGGATCCCATTCCAACCAAAAGTGGCCTGGTCTCAGTTAGCTGATAAAGTTGCAAGCGAGAATTTCATCATCGCTTGCAGCTGGGGTTGGCATCGTCCCCCACTCCACCTGATGTCGAGGGGAAATGGGCGAGGTTTAAGACTGTGACTCATGCAGCTGCAATGGCTGCTTTGGGTACGCGGTCCAGACCTCCCCAGAAACCCTGGCTGACAGAGGAGGTGTTCAGGTTAATTGAGAAAAAGCGACAGGCCCACTCTCATCGCCTACAGCATCCCACGTCAGAGAATGAGGAGGTTTACCGCAGCCTTCGCTCGGAAGTTCGGAGAGCCGTAAGGCGCTGTAAGGATGGGTGGTGGTCGCGGGTTGCTGAGGAGATGGAGTCTGCCTCAGTGGCCCGTGATCACAAATCACTATTTAACTCCATCAAAAAAGTAACCTGCAGCGCCACACCTATTACCATCATTAGAGGAAAAAACGGTGATCCAATCTCCGACCCCCAGGAACAGGTTTGCAGATTTGCTGAGCATTTCTGTGAGGTCCTGGGGGAGGGAAATTCTCTCAGCCAGGAAAACATCATGGCACAAAGTGGTGATAACCCTGCTGAGGCTGCGGTGCCTCAAATATTGGAAGAGGTCACCCCCTGTGAGTGGCTGGCTGAGGTGCCAGCTGTTGAGGAAGTACTGAGGGCGATCCGGAGTCTGAGACCAGGGAAGGCACCGGGCAGAGATGATCTCCCAAGCGAAATGCTGAGGGAGGGTGGCGTTTGTGCACAGACTGCCCTATATGACATCATAACAACAGTCTGGACCACTGGACGGGTTCCGCAGGACTGGAAGGATGCCCTGGTGGTCCCCCTCTTTAAGAAGGGGGACCGTACCGACTGTAACAACTACAGGGGCATCTCACTCCTCAGTGTGCCGGGTAAGGTCCTGGCAAGGATTATTCAACATCGCCTTGCTAGGCACGCTGAGGAGAGGCTTGCGGAGCCCCAATGCGGTTTCAGGAAAGGGCGGTCCTGCACAGATGCCATATTTTCTGTCCGTCTGCTACAGCAGAGGTGTAGGGAATTCCAAAAAGACCTACATCTCTGCTTTATTGACCTGGTCAAGGCCTATGATACCATCAGTAGGACTGGGCTCTGGGTTGTTCTTCGTGCTTTCGGAGTCCCTGACCCTCTGCTCACGATCATTAAGGACCTTCATGATGGTGAGCGGGCCCGGGTAAAACTACGTGGCCGGGAGTCGGAGCCTTTCCCTGTACACCTTGGGGTGCGACAGGGATGTCCTCTGGCTCCCACATTATTTAACATCTATTTTGACCGCGTAGTTCGTGAAGCCTTCAATAGCTGTACCGGGGGAATTTCCATTTGGTACAGATATAATGGGAGGCTGATCGATGCCCGGGTGCGATCAAGGGATGGCTCCCTATTGGTCAACCACGTTATGTATGCCGATGATTTGGTAATAGCTGCTCATTCAGAAGAGGAGTTGGAGACGCTGCTGCTGAGACTGGAGCGTGCCACTAAGAGGTGGGGCCTTACCATCAGCCCCACCAAAACTAAGCACCTGCCTGGGTATTTTGTACCATCGGACACTCCACCCCCACAACTCCCAATTGGTGATGGGGCAGTTGTGGAGAGAGTGGAGAGTTTCCCATACCTGGGCAGTGTGCTTATGACCGGCTCCAGTTTATCAGCAGAGGTCTCACTCCGAATCAGTCGAGCGGCAATATCTTTTCATCGGTTGCGTAACGCTGTGTGGAAGCTACCTGGTCTGTCGCTCCGCACGAAGCTTCAGGTCTTCTCGGCCACGGTCATTCCCTCCCTTCTCTACGCTTGCGAGACGTGGACCCCCCTGGTGGAGCATCTTCGCCGGTTGGAAACATTTAGGCTGGCCTGCCTACGATCCATCCTGGGTTTAACCAGGCTGGATTGTGTGAGGAGCTCACAAATCCTTGAAAGATCTGGGCAAAGTCCCATCAGTGAGCTCCTCCGGCAGGCAAGGCTGCGTTGGCTGGGTCATGTAGCCCGCATGCCCAGCCACCGCATGCCTAAACAGCTTTTGTTCGGCCGGATCGAGGGGGCTAGACGGGCGCGGCACGGGCTGGAGAAGAGATGGAGTGATGTGGTACAGGAGGACGTGGAGCTGAGTGGACTTGCCGATGACTGGTACCAGCGGTGTCAAGATCGGCCTCAGTGGAGGAGGCTCGTGAAGGACGCTACTGGGCAGTTGGAGGCAGTCGCCCTCCAACAACAACGGAGGGCGGAGGAGCGACGCTCACAACAACGAGCGGAGCGCCGGGTGGCTAAAGCACAGCAAGTTGGCACAGTAGGGGGCACAGGTGGTGCATCAGCCAGTCATCTCGGTCATCTCGGTCAGTCGACCCGTGGCACCTGGGTCTGCCCCGTGACCTCCTGCCAGCGGGCGTTCGACACTTCACGTGGCCTCAAGGTGCACTTGGCCTGGCACAAGCATCGTGGTGACGTCACCGCCACTTAGTGGCGAATGGCGGTTGTTGTTGTGTTGTGGTCTGTGTGTGTGTCTGTGTGTGTGTCTGTGTGTGTGTGTGTCTGTGTGTGTGTGGTCGTGTGTGTGTGTGTCTGTGTGTGTGGTCTTGTGTGTGTCTGTGTGTGTGTGTGTCTGTGTCTGTGTGTGTGTGTCTGTGTGTGTGTGTCTGTGTGTGTGTGTGTCTGTGTGTGTGTGTGTCTGTGTGTGTGTGTGTCTGTGTGTGTGTCTGTGTGTGTGTCTGTGTGTGTGTCTGTCTGTGTCTGTGTGTCTGTGTGTCTGTGTGTCTGTGTGTGTGTGTCTGTGTGTCTGTGTCTGTGTGTCTGTGTGTCTGTGTCTGTGTGTGTCTGTGTGTCTGTGTGTGTCCTGTGTGTGTGTGTCTGTGTGTGTGTGTCTGTGTGTGTGTGTGTCTGTGTGTGTGTCTGTGTGTGTGTGTGTGTCTGTGTGTGTGTCTGTGTGTGTGTCTGTGTGTGTGTGTGTGTCTGTGTGTGTGTGTCTGTGTGTGTGTGTGTGTCTGTGTGTGTTCTGTAAATAAGTGACTTGAGTCACGCGCAGTCAAGGGGGCCGCCCATAAATGACGTCACGCGATTTGGACGGTTTTTGACCCCCCCCCTCGTCACACGGCGTCACAAAAAGTCAGACCCCCCCCCTCAAATATGACGTCACAAAGCTCTGCCCCTCCCCCCAAAAAGAATAAAACATGCTTCAAATCGATTTAAAGCTTTCGTGACTGCATGGATTCATATTCTTGGTTCTTTCGGTAAAGTCACGTAGAAGGGAAATAATAAAATAATAAAAATATTAAACAATACAATTATTACGACGTTTCGGCACCACCGCCATCATCATCAACGGTCTTATCCACTGCTGGATGAACCCCATCCCAAGGCGTCCACTAGATCGTGTCGACTCGACATCTTATCGGATTCCTCCGGTCTGAAGATTGTGTGATTCTGGGATAATTGGGGTTTATACTGGTAGGAACCTCCTGGTTACACCAGCCCACAGGGGATTATTGTGTCCGTCCGTCCGTCGTGCAGGGAGGGGCTGGGTGGGGAGGGAGGGGCTTTTGGGGAGGGGAGGGTGGGAAGGGGCTAGGCTGGGTGGGGAGGGTGGGGAAGGTGGGGTGGGGCTGGGTGGGGAGGGTGGGGCTGGGTGGGGGGTGGGAGGGGAGGGGCTGGATGTGGAGGGGCTGGGTGGGGAGGGTGGGGCTGGGTGGGGGGGTGGGAGGGGTGGGGCTGGGTGTGGAGGGGCTGGGTGGGGAAGGTGGGGTGGGGCTGGGTGGGGAGGGTGGGGCTGGGTGGGGGGGTGGGAGGGGTGGGGCTGGGTGTGGAGGGGCTGGTCACTCCGTGGTGCCCTTATCAAGCCGTTGACCCTGGTCCCATCTGAAAACGGGGACTTGTGTTGCCTCCGAAACGTCGTGATTTAAGTGATTTATTTTCATTTATTATTATTTTATTATTATTTTATTTTATTGATTGTTTTACCTACGTGACTTTACCGAAAAAAACCCAAGAGTATAAAATTCTTCCATTTAAATCTCGACTTAAAGCTTTCGTGACTGCAGAAATTCACATTCTTACTACGACGTTTCGATCACAACACGAGCGATCGTCATCATTGCTTGTGTTCTACCCGATGACGATTGCTTGTGTTGCAAACGAAACGTCGAAATTTATTATTTAATGTATTTTTCTTTCTAAAGGTGACTTTATCGAAATAACCAAAGCGTTATCATCGCTTGCGTTGTGATCGAAACGTCGTTTTAAAAAATTTTCTTTACAATATATCTACGTGACTTTTACCAAAATACCCAAACAATACCTCTACCATTTAGTTTCACACGTAGGCTTTTAAATAAAATAAAAATAAAACTTTTATCCAATCTTTGTGACGTTTATGAATGCGCGTTTTAACGATTAAGTTAATCGGCGCATTTAAAAGGTTTGCAGCAAGCGGGTCATCTCGTGGAGGAAGCGCTCGATTTCAATTGCCGACCCTGAGCCAGTGATGGAAATTCCACATTACCATGGCCGGGGACCAGTATGCTCGCCGTACAGGTCAACCACCGCGCAATTGTGACGACAGAAATCGATTGCGGATCGAAAAATCGATAGCCAATCAAAAAAAAATCGATAGTGTTTATCTCCCGTCACAATACACTTATCGATTTCTAACTCAACGAACCGATTTCTCCCGGAATCGATTAATCGACGAAGCCATCGATTTTGTTTTTGCATCGATCAAAATTTCGCGTGGCCGCGCCCCGCGTTTGTATTTCGCAGCGCGGACAAGCGTCGCCCGTCGAATCTCGCGCTCCCATTGGCCGAGGGTCGTCCCCCAGCGCTCGACCAATCAGGCCGCGGCGATTGACCCGAGCCGTTCGGGCTCTCCGTCGGCTCGACCAATGGGAAGCCGCGGAGCGGGGCCGCCGCGCGCATGCGTTGTAGGGAATGTGAAGCCGCTATAACGGCCATGTTTAAGCGGGGGGCCAGACGGTTTGCTGAGGAAAGCGTAATTAACAAACAGGGGTTTCGTTAAAAGTGAGAATGTTTAATTGAAACTGCACGGGAGAGGATTCCGATATCCCCGGACGCGATCCGCGTTACACCTCGAGTCCGCCGGTTGCCGTCGAATTTACCCGGCGTTTTTGATTGTTCCTGGGAAGGGACTTTGCGGCCTAGTGCAACCCGCGGGAGAAGAGGCACCCTGCCCGGCGAGGGATCTAGTCGAGAGGCGGTGAATGTTACAGGTAGCATCGGAGTTAAGATTTTTTTTGTTTAATTCTGAAATGTTTGCATTGTTAAATACTCGTGTCCGTGTCAAACCGTGCGCTGTGCTTGTTATGTATGAGTTTTGTTTGTAAACAATGCAATAAATGTTAAATCTATAGTGATGATACTGTGCCGGTAAAGGCTGTTTGTATATGTGTGCGCACTGTATTTTACGTAAAAAATTGTGTTAAATGTGTAATAATGTAAGCTGTGTACGAACGTGTATTTGTACACGCACGTATACATTCACGCGCTGTATTTATTTCCCCCGGTATTTTGAAACCTTTGTTTTAATTGAATGTAAACACACTTGTTAGAATGTACACACTATCTTTCAAGTGTACGTGAAATGTTTATGAGTAATACTGCTTTGAAATGCTTAATGTGAACGGGTGTGCACAAGTACTGGACGTGTATATGGTTGCTAATCGATCCTCTGATTAGCACGGCTGGCTACGTGCGTTGCTAAATAAGTCCCAACGTACATACAGCCCATCATCCCTTCGGGGGGCGGTAAAGTTGGTACCACTTTGTGGGAAAGGCAACAGTGGCTGTCCTATGGGTAAGACTCGCGCCCGCCCTGCGAATGTGGAATCTTCACCACTTGATCAGGGCTGTAAAACAGATGACCAAACGCCTCCTTATCTCATTTGAGCAGATCACTTTGAAATATTCGTTTATATATAGTACGTGAATTACGCTGTGCTGTATTGTCAAGTACATACACTGTATATGTGTGTGTGTGTTGGTGTATGTCCAGCTTGTGTGTTTTCTATGTGTGTGTGCAGTGTTTTTTTTATATGTGCACCTAGCCTGGCACAAGCACTGTGGTGACTGCGCTGCCGATTAGTGGCGATTGACAGCTATTCTTTTCGATGTAAAGCTTTCGTGACTGCAGGGATTCATCTTCTTGGTTCTTTCGGTAAAGTCACGTAGAAGGGAAATAATAAAATAATAAAAATAAAACATAATAAAATAATTCTCACGACGTTTCGGCCTCAACGCAAGCAGCCGTCCTCAGGTGAAGAATGAAACACCACCAAGCTTGGAGCTTCACCTGAGGACGGCTGCTTGCGTTGTGGCCGAAACGTCGTGAGAATTATTTTATTACTTCCCTTCTACGTGACTTTACCGAAAGAACCAAGAAGATTGCTACTCTTGTTATGTGTGTATATTATGTGTGTGTTCATATGTATAAGGAACATACAACTTTTAGCGAATATCTGAACCGGTCCTGGGTGCTTCCCTAAGTCGACTCAGCCTTAAGTGAGTACCTGGTGTGGTACTGTGTGTGCATCGTCAGCAGTGGGGAGACAAAGGCGGCCGGGCGTGGATTTCTTGACCACAACGCGAACTCTCACGTGCAAGAAGCCAGCCTTAATAGGATCTCATTTCGTACCACTTATCTCCCCCCCCCGCCCTCAGCAGTGTTGGCTAAGTGGAGGATGTTGGTGGTTAAGGGTCTGCGTGAAACGCGTTAAGAGGGTGGCAACATCAGGTTATTGTGCAGAATCGAACTTTTTGGGTGAGATCGATCAAGCCGGCCACCAATGCCCGACACGGCCTGATCAGTAAGGGAGTGTGTCACGTTAACAGAACGTAGACATTAATTCTAGATTTGAAGCTTTCGTAGGTAAAATAATAAAATAAATGAAAACAACTAAATTAAATCACGACGTTTCGAGGCAGCCTCCCTCATCAGGTTTTAAAAAAAAAAGGCACGGCAAAATATTTTTCGATTTAAAGCTTTCGTGACTGCAGGGATTCATCTTCTTGGTTCTTTCGGTAAAGTCACGTAGAAGGGAAGTAATAAAGTAATAAAATAAAACATAATAAAATATTGTATTATGTTTAATTATTATTTTATTATTATTTCATTTTATTATACTTTCTTTTTATTATTTATTACTTCCCTTCTACGTGACTTTACCGAAGAACCAAGAAGACGCAGCAAAATAGTTAGTTATTTAGCTGTGCCTTTTTTAGTTAGTTATTTTGCAGTTTTTTTTACACCTGATGAGGGAGGCTTGTGTTGCCTCCGAAACGTCGTGATTTAATTGAGTTGTTTTCATTTATTTTTTGTTTTACCTACGTGACTTTACCGAAAAAAACAGAGTAAGAACGTGGCCAATTCGTTACTGGTTCAGCACTAACCGGTTGTGCGTTAAACCCATTCCAACATTTGCAATTCAATTCTGGCTGTCTTTGATGAGGCTGCTTGTGGTGGTTGTTAATACGGCGAAACGTCACGGTGACTCCAATTGTAAATGTTGCAGTGGGTTTACTCTGTCTAACACGTAGGCTTTCGCGACCGATATCATCCACGAATAGAGGTTTTGTTGGGGGGGTTAAGATCGCGTAAATATAAATGTCGCGTCGTTAAACTCGCCACCACCCACCCCACACTGTCAACTAGCAAGGTAGGTTTGTATCACTTAAACAAAACGTGGCCCGTTTCGTTTCCCGGTACAGCCGCACATCGATTGTGCGTCGGAGAGTGAAACCCACGACAACATTTACCATTCGAGTACGAGGTTGCGCCGGTAATCACGACGGGATATTTATTACACAGGTCAACAACAAAAAAAATCATTTTTTTCTGGCCTGGACTTTTGCAGCTGTTTTAGACCAATTTCAGGGTGCTGATTCCAAATCTGATCTCAGATTTGCTCTATCACATCTCATTTTTATGCTATCGGCATACCCCATTTTCATTGATTTTACTCGAAATTAACTCTGTCACTTATGATTGCAAAGTGTTGCGAGTCAGTGACTGCTTTAGTGTTAAAATATGGTGCTGTATTTTTAGGATAGTGTGTTTATAATATCATTTTATGTAGATATCCACATTTATTTAATATTTTTCTTCTGCAGTTTTTATTGAAAATGCAATATTTGATATCTCAAAAACCTGATGTGATAGACAAAAAACTGATGCCAGATTTGGAATCGGCACCCCAGAATTACCTTAAGATCGTTGGAATACCTTATGCCAGAAAAAGTGTGTTGACCAGTATTATCAGGCGGACGACCAGAGAGAGGCTGTTTGTGTTTGGCCTCTTATCTCCGAGATGAGTTTGAAGAATCAAGCTCCTATCTTTAGGCATTGGAAATCTGTTGTTCAGCTCTCTTAGGTTTTTTTTCTTGCACATGACAACGTTGACCAATTTCTCTTGTAGCCCCCGCTCACCACCCCCACGTTCCATTCCCTGGTTACCACATTCAGATTAGCCCTCCCCCCCTTAACTTATATTTAAGGGCTGGTCTTTGGAATTTTTAAATCCTTTATATTAAGTTCGCTTGCTTGCTTGCGCGCTTACGACCGTGCAAATCTTTCGGTCGTTTTTTAACCCACTTCCCGTGATCCAATCGAGCTGACATTTTGCACACAGACTCGTTGTGCGTGACAATTTATTTTCGTGAAAACATTTTTCCAAAATGTTCCACTTTTAGGAAAAAAATAAATGTCATATTTAATTTAAAATACCAATGTGATAAAAATGGAACTCTTACTCAAGAAAAACAGAAATGAATAATAAATAAAACCGATGCCACGCATATAAAGGATTTATAGTGAAAAACTTTGTTTTTACGGGTAAATTTTTTCCTCACTTGATGCAGTCATTTTAGCTGTGACGGTCCCACCTGATGACGGAGACTTGTGTTGCCTCCGAAACGTCGTGATTTATTATTTTATTTGCATTATTACTTTATTAACTTTTAATTAATTTTTTACCTACGTGACTTTACCGAAAAAAACCTAAGAGTGTTTTATTATTTAATTTTATTTCCATTATTACTTTTATTAACTTTTATTTTTTTACCTACGTGACTTTACCGAAAAAACCTAAGAGTATGAATCCTTGCAGTCACGAAAGCTTCAAACCTGTTGTTCAGCGTCTGTAAAACAATTTCAAGCAAATCTGTTTCTCTGTCGCGATCATCTGCAGAATGGGGGGGGGGCGAATGTTGATGTTGTTGCGCGCGCAACCCTCCTGCCACTCCACTGCTGGATGAAGGCCTCCTCACCAGAGCGGCACAGATACAAAATGTAGCAAGTTACTTTTACACTTGGGAGGCTTTCGCGGCCAATATTATCCATGAAAGAGGTTTTTGGGTTAGAGCGTGTTTAAATATAGGTGTGTCGGGTGGTGGCGGGTTTAACGACACATTTATAAACCTCTTATGGATACGAAGTTACTATTATTATTTATTCATGAGAGATTGGAAAGAATAAAAATTTGAGGGCGGAAGTAATAACAGTTCAATCTTGATTTGAAGCTTTCGTGACTGCAGGAATCTATACTCTTTGGTTCTTTCGGTAAAGTCGCGTAGGTAGAAAAAAAAGCATGGTCTGCTTTCCCACCTGATGATGGATGCTTGTGTTGCACCCGAAACGTCGTGATTTATTTTATTTTATACCTACGTGACTTTACCGAAAGAACCAAAGAGTAATGACAGTTCTTTGGGTTGACTTTAGCTGCCTTGTGGGAATAGGAGCATTAAGGCAGCCATATATAAACATTGTATGAGGTCTCTCTTAGCCATATATGAAGATTGTCTGGGTGTTTCTTAGTCATCTAAACATTGTGTGGGTTTCCATTAACCATATCGAAACATTGTATGAGGTCTCTCTTAGCCATATATGAAGATTGTCTGGGTGTTTCTTAGTTATCTAAAGATTGTGTGGGTTTCTATTAACCATATCTAAACATTGTATGGAGTCTCTCTTAGCCATATATGAAGATTGTCTGGGTGTTTCTTTGCCATATCTAAACATTGTGTAGGTTTCTATTAACCATATCTAAACATTGTATGAGGTCTCTCTTAGCCATATATGAAGATTGTCTGGGTGTTTCTTAGTAATTTCTAAACATTGTATGGGGTCTCTCTTAACCATATATGAAATTTGTGTGGGTTTCTGTGAGCCATGTATGAAATTTGTGTGGGTGTCTCTTAGCCATATATGAAAATTGTC